GCTCCTTTTTTTCCCCGAGCTTCGCCACCCAACTCTTGCCTCCTCCTCTGCTCTTTCCCATCTCTCTGCCCCTGTGACCCTGCCATCATCACCAGAAGGAATCTGCGCCATCCACTGGATCCATTTGTGCTGATGCATACTTAGAAAGGCCTGTTTATTCATTCAGAAACACAACATGCACTCAGTTCAAAGTATCTGCATGTGCTTCATTAATTTTGTGTCCAAACTTGTTGAGTGATTGCAAGACATGCAGGGCGGAGGGGGGGAAAAAAAATCCAATCAACTCAACCAGCCACTCCTCGTGAACAGGGTCATTTGAATAAAGAGGGGCATCTGAAATTGCAGGGTTTGTGTCAACATAACAAGTTAATGATCTCAGATGATAATTGGTAGTTGGAGGCTGAAGCGGCCATGTTGTGGCCGTGAGGTGCGGCGCCGAGGACCTCCTGTGATAAAAGCGGCAGCACGAGGGCTTTCAAAGTGGCACGGTGCTGTAGGCAACACAATTCATCACCGCTCCATGAATATTCATGCAGCTCTGCGCTTCCTCCGGGGCTGCTGAGAACACGTCTGTATTAAGTCCCTTCAATGTGCTGCGGTTTGAAGACACCTAAACCTTCTGGCCTCTCATTACCAGACTGCCCCGCGCTCAGCTGCCTGCCAGGGAGGGAAGCCACACTTCATTAAAACAAAAGGGGAAGCTCTCCTGTTCGGTGCACCTGCGAGGCAGAGGTGAGGTCGTCGGCGTGGGCTCACAGGGGTCAGAATTAGTGATCATGAAGGTTTCTCCATCAGGTGTGGTTTTTTTTTTTTTTTTGGGTGGGGTGGGGTCTCGAAATCTCAAAACACTTTCCTCCACCTGTCAGCAGCCAAACAGTTTTGACGGCCTCCGACGCATCTTTTCAGCGCTTTATCAGACCTGCAGGCTTCTAAGTGCTGTCCCCAGATTACAGTTTAGGAAAAGGGTGCTTTGACTGACAGGCCTTGGCCTTGACGGTCCCTCGGGGGAAGGGGAGGGGGATTTGTGATGGCTGCACTGACTCGTACTTCTCTTACAATTTTCTCCAGGCAGGTTTCAGACTGTCAGGCTGAGGGAAAGCTCTCCCTCCCTCTCTGCATAATTCATTAGATCTCCCCTCTTTTTTCACTCTTGGCTGCTGTGTGGCAGCCACTGTAGCTCCATTGTTTTGGAAGACAGAGTAATGGAGCTTGTCACAATATGTTAACATATTTTATTGTTCACAGCAACAGTTTGGAAACAAATTAACTTCTCCTGAAATGAGCTATTCAAATGGGCCGTTGAAGCAAAACAGCTTAAAACCCTTGCCTTATTTTTCATAAACGGCTAACACCGGAAAGCGATTAATTACTGATGATTTTAGTTGCAATGTCAACAACAACAACAACAACAAAAGGTTGGCTATTAGTTTGCAATCCAGAATAGGCCAGAACAACAGAGGTTGTCACCACAAAATGCTGTTTTGCAGCCAATTACCACAGTGGTGCCTGCTGTCCTTTTGAAGCTTGTGTACTGTCGATTGTCATGACCCGGCTGGCATTTACTTCCTGGAAATCTGCAATGGAATATATCTCATTTTTGACATCCTCCTTTTACAAAATATGACTAAACAAGCACATCCTTCAGCAAACAGGGTTGCAAGCTGAAGCCAGGGGGCAAATCCTGTCACTGAGGCTGTAAATAAAGCCAAGACTTTCCAAGAAAATGTGCCTGTGCAGTGTCACGTTGGCCTCAGCAACACCTTATCGCACATGTATATCCAAAAAACTCTGAAAACATGTTGTCATTTGTGATGGGTTTAGACACTTTGTCTTTAAAAGGAGAGAAAAAACTGGGTTTTTCACCCGCAGCTTCAGGTATATTACTCTCTTTGATCTGTTTTTGAGCTTTTGAGAGCTTTCTCTGAATATTACCTGTCAGCTCTTGAAGAGATTCATCTTTTTGATCAGGAGTTTGGTTTAATGTGACAAAAAGGTCATAATAACACCCCAGTACAAAGATGAACATTATTTTTATGTTGGAGAGACGAACTGATAAATGGAATCAAAAGTGCCGGAGGGAGAAGTTCTACAAACACGCAGCCAAAATTTCCACAATCATTTGAAAGTAAAGTGATTTTCTTTTTTTCCTCAAGTTTATAGCCTTGTATTAGTATTCAGATCCAACACAAAGGAAGAAAAAAATGCCAAAAGTCATTTAAAGTCATGAATTTCTTTTACCAGCTGAATTAAACATCCTCAGTTTGCTGTTGTTCAATGCCCACTGTGAATAAATGTGCTCGAGACGTTCTGCAAACTATCTTTCAAAGCATTTAAGAGGAAAAATAATAACCAACTTGATTGTTTCGTGTCTCTGACAAACAGCAGAGTTTAATTCCAAGAGGACCTTTCTAAATGGTCCTTCAAACATAATTACTGTTGGCCTGTGAGAAGTACCTGCTCATCAGCTTCCGTAAGAAATCTGCTAATTGTAACATCATCCCTCCATGCATCCATTATCTTTACCCACAGGTCTTTGGGATTGTAACATAATTACTATTAATAAGACTAAATGATAACAAGCCATTTTTTTCATCTCATCAGGCAAAAACATTGCAGCAAAAAACCATAAAAAGGAAATGAAAACAAGCATGTCGACCAAAATTAGAACGATCTGCTTCATAAATCTCCTCTGATATCTGAGATCACAACAATACATCAGCTGTTAACTCAGATTTCATCCAGAGGATCCAACAAACAGCAAAACTGTTTAAACGTTTTAAACCTTTTGAGAACTAATACTGCCTTTACCAATCGACTGAACAGACCCTGTCAGTTCAGAGCCTCCATTTAATCCAACATGGTGGGAGAAAACCAGAGAAAACCACCGGAGACATTCAGTGAGACCGAACCGACCACAACATTCAGCTCTGAACCTCCTGAATATATCTGAACAATTCAATAAGACAAAACTTGTATATTTTACAAATAAAAAGCAACTAAATGTGTTTTTTGTAACTTATWGGTTATTAAATGCTGCCACGGTATTTAGGAGTAAATCATCCTTTATCTAACCTGTTTCACTTTACATGGGAACAAAATGTATTAAACCTAAGGTATATATTATTGCTTTATGTAAAGTTGTTTATATTCTCTTCTTGCATCAACATCGATTTTTAATAATAAAATTAACTGCAAGTAATGCTGCAAATTTGTGATGCCAGTTTGACTCAAATTAAATGTGCAGTGTGCTAATGAGGTTGTGAAAACTATTTCTTGTATTATAAATTCATATGAACACATCAAGATTATAAATTCAGTAATTACACAAGATAAAGACATAACACTTTGTGTAAGAAATATAGATAAATTTAAAAAGATTTACTTCTTGCTCCTTTTCAACAGATAAAACGCTGGCATGTTCTTTATTAACTCAACTGCTGATCTGTGTGCAATATTTTTTTATTTTATCAAATTTACTACTTTTGTTTTTCCTTTGTTTTCTTAAAATGCTTTGTGCAACACAGCTGTTTAAATCTTATTCTCATGAACATGTATGGGTATATTTCTTTTATATTTTTATTTATTAGATATTGTGACTCGGTAGCCTAAAAGGGTAATTAACTCATCTTTCAGGGTGCACAAATTTAATTATATTACACATGAAAATGTAATAAACATTAAACTTATTAAACTGCATGTAAATATAATAGAAGAGTAGTTTAGGCTGATTTTATTGTATGGATCCTTTTATTTATACGTTTCTTTCTCTTCCATAAATATACTGGATGTATTTTGTTCTAGAAAAATGTACATCTTTACAAAGTTAACTGCCTCCTAGTGATAAAACACAAGTAAACAGTGCCACCTGCTGGGAAACTCAAACACATGCTGTGTTCTGACAAGTATAAAAAGGTACCTCCAGCTGTTCGATGATGCAGCAAAACAGACATTAAAGTTGTCAGAAAAAAAAATCAGAGGTGACAGGAATCAAGAAATTAAAAGGAGAAGTTTGGATCCTCTTTACMTTCTTCTTTATTACACATTAAATAGGAGTGGTGAGACTTATGGCAAAAAAATAGACTCATCTGAGATCAGATCACCGCTCTACAACAGGCAGGTTGTAAAGTGGTCATTCATTCACCTCCCCAGACCTGGACCCAGTCACACTCTAATCACATACACAGAGCGGAGTGAGGCTCCATTTAAGCAACATTCATTTAGACACACCGACGCAATGAAGCACAATTTACAAAATATGCACCTTTCAGTATCACAACTATACAAAGGTTGTTAAAATATGATCCATGTATAAATGATACATTTCAGAAATCAGCTGTTGGCACGCAATAAAAAAGMAAGAGGAACATGTCAAACATTACAGTAAAACTACTTTTTAAACTGTTTTCTTAACAGGAGGGTTCCAGAATCAAACCTGCAGCAACAGCTAATTGTCTACTTCATAAAAAAACAGAAGAGGTAAAAAATAAATTAAAATGGGGCCAAAACTCATTACTCCTGAAAGCAAAATATATCAAACCTTATTTTTTTGTGACAATAGCTTCTCACCTCACAAATAAAACAGCTATTTTAAAATTTTAGACAAAATAAATGTCTTGCCTCTTTTTAACGTTTAAATGCAGCACTCAATGTTAACAAAAAACAAAAAAAAAACTATTTTAAAAGGCCAAAAAAAGAAGAAAACAAAAATAGAAAAACCCCTCAGGCAACCAATCTGTAAATACAGTTATCAGGGTGATATAAGAGCTGAGTTATGAGACACTAGAAGCAATTTCTAACTCAGACATTTATCTTAAAATACATTTTATGGCAGTTTGTGATCCTCATATCATGAAAGGATACAAAGTGCGCCAAAAACAAACAAAAAAAAAGAAATTGAATTCTGTATATAAACCTGAAAATTAGACAAGTCTGAGTTCCTCCTTGCTGGCTCTGTTAAATGTATCTACTGGAGGCAGTTTGTGATCCTCATATCATGAAAGGATACAAAGTGCGCCAAAAACAAACAAAAAAAAAGAAAGAAAAGCAAAACAACTCTCCTCATTTAGTCCTGAAAAATCAGTCCCCACACAATACAAAGCAATTAATTAATGGCTAACTAGGGTAATAAAACATTCTGAAAAGAGTAGGAGTTTGCATGCATACTGATCAGTGACAAAACAAAGTCACACCTAAAGGTCAGAAACGGGGAAATGACACAGTMGCTGGGACATTTGGATCTCATCTGGCTGAACGTTGGGCCTTCAGATCAGTTTTGTCTGCATGAGCGGGATGAATATTCATTCTTTGGCATCCCATCTTTAAAAAGGGCATTAAAGAACATTTTGCAGGTTGTGGCATTTCAAGCACAGACACATGAATAATAATTATTAATTTGTCAAAATTTATTACTGATGCCATTAACTCCAAATTAATTTTAAATCTGGCTCATCCAGCTCTGAGACCAACGCGTCAGCTTCTGGCACTACACTAAAAAAGAAGCTTATTGGAGTCCAAATAAAAAAAAAAGGGGGCAGAACAATTCAGGTCAGTTTTAGTATTCATTAAGAAGGATAAGGACAAAAATGCTAATAATTTAGTGTGATGTACAAAATGTATTACTTGAACTGTTCAACTTGTTTTATTTTACTCTGTCTTGAAAAGGGGGGTTATTCACATGAGTATACACTTTGTCTTGGACTTCTTTTTCTTCTTTTTGCCCTCCTTGCTCATCTTCTCCTTGTGCTTCCGGATTTCTCGGACTAATGTGTAAAAGGCATCATCAACGCCCTGGAAACAAAAGCAAACAAAACATACATATTAGGTTCAAGTTTTTTTAATACAATAAGTATTTTTTTAATTTAGAGCAATAATCTGGATCTTTTGAAGTTGTTCATTGTCTGATGCCTTGACTTTTCAGAATTATGTTTTGTATAGTGGTATTAATTTATATTTTCAGATCTTCCAAGGTGCCAATTATGGAACT